TCGAGAGTTTTGAAGAAGGTTGAGAATGCAAGTTGATGAAAAGAAAGGATGTGCTTAGCGAAAGGCTTCTTCATAGACTGCCCGCTTCAGTATACTTCCTACCTGCTTCTTCAAAGATTTTCATTCCATGTAACATAGAAACCAAAACATAACAAATTAGTTAAAAGGTACAAGATTGATCTAACCCATTGGAGGAGAGGGATAGAATTTAATCCAAAGAAATTAGATAAAAATATAATTATTATTTTCAATAAATGTAAATAAATTTCAACTATTAAAAGTAAAGAGATGAATAGTTAAAATTTTGTATAAGTGTGATGTGTAAAATTTATATATAAATAGAACTCTACTCACACACACACACATGTATATAAATATAAGGTGAGATCCTTTTACACACAACTTTCTTATGGGTTTTATAGAAAATCATAAACATTCATTTTATACTATGAATAATTGAAATTTATCATAACTTTTTAAGTAAAATAATAACTAATTAACCTTTTAAAAAATAAGATAAAACATAAATAAATCTCAACTATTCATAATATAGAAATGAATAGTTAAAATTTTATATAAGTGATATGTGTAAGAGTTATGTATAAATTGATTTTTTATCATTTATCTTTTCACTTTTAATAGTTGATATGTAATTATTTTTATTATCTAAAAAGTCGTAATAAATCTCAATTATTAAAAGTGAAAAGATAAATAGTTAAGATTTTGCATAAGTGTAGTGTATAAAATTTTTGTATAAGTGAATTTTTCTTATACGTAACACAAATTTTATATACTATACTTATATAAAATCTTAGCTATTTATCTCTCTATTTTCAATAGTTGAGATTTATTACAATTTTTTAGATAAAAAGATAATTATCTTTAATAAATATAAGTAAATTTTTACCATTAAAAGTAAAAAGATGAATAATTAAAATTGTGTAAATGTAGTGTATAAAATTTATATATAAATAGATTTTTACTTTATATATATAGAGGGGATCACTAAATTTTGCAAAACTTAGAAAGATTATATATATATATATATATATATACACGCACATAT